TTCTGACAATGATGAATGATGGATAAGCCTTTGAATATCTAAGTTATTCTCGGATCCAGTGAAAAAGTGCGGACAAGAATCTTAGTGAAAATGTTATTTTTGTAGTCATGCAATGAGATTAGATTCTCTCTATAAAGTCAAAATATCTTTTACAAATGAATATCTCATGTTCTCTATCATTGTGTCTCTTTCTATTTATAGGAAACATGTTCCTAGAAACCCTAGTAATACAAGTGCAGATAATATCCACTAGAATATTCTCTTTAATGTCCTATCTTGAAACTAGCCGTTATAACTCTATCAAGGGTATTCGATCTCGGTCTCGATCCTTGATAACTCCTCGACTTCAACCCTTGCTGACTCTTCAACTACGATCTTCTTTGTTCCTTAGATCACTTCGACACGTGGCAGTCTAGGTACGTTTCGCTAATGCCACTTTGACTTACATATTCTAGAGATAGATTTTGACCCATACAATATTCTCACTATTCTTTTTCCTTTTTTTAATTTTCTTATCTAAAATAGAGAAATTTCTAAAATTGAATGTACGTACCTTGCAAATAAAATTAGTCCGAACTGAAAATTAATGGGGTTTGCGAGGCAGAGCATGTGCAATGTTACAAAGCCAACCATCCGGTTAGACGGGGCTGCCGTTGTATAGCTGTTTTTACTGTGACAGTTCATAAACATATTCAGATAAAAATAAGAGTTAATTTCACGGATAATTTTGTAACTACGGTCATAACAACAAATTTACTAACAAAAAAAAATCTCAAAACGAAAATAGCTGAGAAAATAACAAAATATAGTTAGCTGCGACCCACATAAGCAAAAACTGCCAAGTCATCTATGCTGCCATGTCATCAACAGACATAAATTTCCACGTGGAATCCTACTAAAAAGAAGATAAAATAGTTGATAATTTGATTGAATGATATCTCATGTTTAAAGTTACTACTACTTTACTTCACAAAATAAGTGTTGCTACTTTACTTCACAAAATAAGTTCCTTTCTTCGTCATGCTCTATCCTTTCCTTTAACAATATCTCACCTTCTGTAAAGGGAATACTCAAAAAAGGCTTAGTAGAAAAAAGGTCAAAAATAAAAAATAAAAAAAATTCTGTTTTATTCCCCTGTGACAGAAAATAAAAGCGAATTTATAACTTTGTGGAGCCGACAAATTTTGATGACATTTTATTAAAAGCATAATTTTTTATTCGTATACAGTGATATAACTACCAATTTTATTATTGTAAAATTATAAATTAAAATAAAGCTTAATATTTGAACTTTTTTCAGGATAGAAAAGATCACATGACTCAACTCCGCTTTACCAATTTATTATTGATGCAAAGACAATTTGAAGAAATGACATTTTTTGTTTACATTTAATTTGAATAGAAGAAAATTATCTCCAACATCTCATGTGTTTTATTTACAAATCTTTTGTGTTATTTTAATTCTTTTCTTGTGAAAAAGATCATACAACTAAAAAATGTTTATAACAAAATATGATATTAAAACTCCTGGATAGTTTTTATTGCAAAATTATTTTTTGAATATGGAAGAACAACCTATCGTTTGGTCTTTGAATAAAAAAATAAATGTGTAATTTTAAATGTTATTATTGCGATCTCATGTGGGCTTGAACAACCTATCATTTTGTGTTTGCTTCAACAGTAAATGTATAATTTCAAACGTTATTATTGCGATCTCAAGCGGGCTTGAACTGTTTTTTCTCCCTTCATATACAATATTTAAAACTTATTTATCAAAATTGTCCTAATTTTGTATATTTTCCGCACTAAACAAGGATTACTTACAAATTATATACAATCCATTATTAATGTCTTAAATGAGGGGATTTAGTTACATCATTTTCCTATTTTCTCTCTACACCTCTTTCCATAAGCATTTTTCTTTCCAAATTCAATCAAATAGAGGACCGCGAGAACCATATGAGATAAAATCTACTAATATATTTTGACCAGCAGTATGTTCCCTTTTCAAGAAATGTAGAAAAAAATTAAAAAAAGAAAGAAATATTAGAACAGGTAAAGACATTGATGAGAATATTTACCATATCTCCAAACATTTCAAGAAATTATCTGTACAAGTGATAAGCGAACCTTTCTCCACTTTTGGCAGCCCAACCAGTAACGACTTCATCATTGAGTCCAAGGTTCAAAACAATATCCATCATCCCAGGTATATAAATCTATAAGTAGATCAAGCAAAAATTATCAAAGGAATAAATAGAAATTAAGTAAACTGCATACATTAAGAGGTGAAGTCGTTTTTATTTTGTTGAAGACTTTACTTTCCACGACAATTTCTAGTTCAATCAGATATGAAGTCTATAGGCTGAAACGTGTATGTCATGAATCAATGCACATGAGTCAATTTAGAATTCACTCTCTACTTTTCTTTCTTTAACAATCGAATAAAAAAAAGAATAATGTATCATACAATAACATACAAATTTAAAAATAAATTATGTATAAATTTAATACAAATTTAATATATTTACAACAACATACATCCTAAAGATAAATTTCATACAACTAATTATATAGTATACAACTTATTTACAACTTTTATACATTATTTTTACACAGTTAAATACATCTACAATATCATACAACTTAAATATAATTTTCATACAAATTTTATACAATATGTCTTATGTATGTATTTTGTAAAAGATTTGTATATATTTTGTATGTAGTGTGTTCTTCTTCCTCTCTGAAATTTCAATCAAAATTTTCTTATTTAATACAATTTTGATACATATCAACAACTTTATATAAAAATATAGTATTTATAATTTAAATACAAATTTTATATAACGATTCATACATTATACAACTATTTTTCAACTTTCATACAACATTCAAATAAAAAATAATATAGAACTACAACTTAAATATAATTTACATACAATTATAATACAATTTTAATACAATTTCGTAAGTATATTGTATGTCATGTGTTCTTCTTCTTCTTCTTCGAGTTTTAATCTGAAATTCAGCCAAAATCAAGTCTAATCTTCACCAAATACCCTCAAAATTGAGATATAAACTCCCAACAATATTCTCCATTGTTTGTAACAACACACAATCCAAACAAATAATGGTTTTTGTAAAACCAAATTCAAATTCAAAGCTTCAAAGCTTTTTAATAGCTGTCAATGGTAGAAAGTCAAATACCTTCAAAATTTATTTATTGAAAATTTTAATTTGAACACCAATTGTACAACATGAAAGGAAATTGCTAAATTAAAACTCTATAGTAAAACGATTGAAATCCATTGATGAATTCCAATAAAAATATATGCAACATGAAAGGATAAAAAGTAGAGAACATCAAAGTAAGAAAAATTGCGGAAAGAACAGAATGAGAGATAGCAAGAGAGAGAGAGAGAGAGACAGAAAGAGAGAGAGAGAGAGAGAGAGAGAGAGAGAGAGCGAGAGAGCGAGAGAGAGGACATGAGAGAGAGACGGAGAGAGATAGAGAGAGCGCAGGAGAGAGAGAACATGGATGGGAAAGAACTGATTCCTTATTAAATTCCTAATATAAAGGGATACTCATTTAAAATTAATTTGTATATAATTGGTAAATTGTATATGGCCATGTAATTAAGTTAAAACTTGATTAGGGAGGGTAATAAAGTTTTATATGTAGTATAGGAAGGTAAAACTCCCTTATTTGATCTTCAACTAGTTAAGAGATATTCTGTCCGGTCCACTTTAAGTGATTTTTTGACCTTTTTTTGTGCTTCATAATATTTGATTTTTTTAAATATCAAGAAGGAATTAACTTTTTCTTTTCAAAGTTACCATTGGAGTAAAGAGCCTAGGAATAGTTTGTTATATTTTCAATAAATAAGTTAAGGTTAATATGATCACTTTTATTATTAATCAATGCTAAAAGATAATTTTTTTAATAGGTGTGAAAAAACTAAAAAAATTACTTAAAGTGGACCGGCGGGAGTAGCAAAGAGAAGAAACGGCATTAACCTCCCCGTCTTCACCCCTTCGCTTTCCTCCCCCAATACCTCCCCTCNTGCTGCCAATTAATCTAGAAAAAAGATTGAAAGCGCGTAACTGATAAAGGAACTTGCTATATGAATAACGTTTATCATCTTAATTAAGTACGTTTCTATACTTGAATTTTCAATCCTAATGTCCAATTATTATTTTGTTTTTTCCATAAATGATCTTTATTTGGGTGCCAACTGCCATGCAAGTTTTTCTCGCCGACTAAGCGGGGAACATTTTTTTAATTAACACAAATTTAACGTGGCCCAAAATCTCACCTAGCAAAATATTGAGTGCTTGTTTAAATAACTTTTTTTTTCTCAATGGAATTGTCATTTGCGTTAAAAGCAGCTTCATTTCTCTAAAGCCAAGAAAAGTTTTTACCGCAGTCAAAACATTTACGTGGGTCCAAATGTCTAACCTAGTAAAATTTTGGGGTGTTTGTTTAAAGAATATTTTATTTCAAAATATTTGCTATTTGGGACCTGAGCACCTCTTACTTTTGTCTTGACGTGCTGGCATGTCAATTAACTCGTAGACGATAGACGTGGGGGCCTTGAAAATCTACCCACTACACGACACAGTTTTTCGTTTATTAAAATCTCCTTTAATATCATTTTAAATATATATATATATATTTCAAAGTACTAAACTGCCGTTGTCATTGAAATCGGTGCCCCTCTTAATAAAATTTAATAAAACTTAATTTGTGAGTACTTGCACACCAATCTGGCACCGCCATTGTTTTCTTTGACCCTTTTTTTTCCTTTCAAAAACGAGTAGTGTAGTTGGCAGATTGTAGTGATTGAATTTTTTTTGTAGAATAAACAAAAAAGAGTATCTTAATATTAAGTCAATAATAATTCAAATTTGAAACCAAGATTTTATTAGTAAAATTTAATAGACGTGCTGGCATGTAATTATAATGTGTCCCCAATTACTAACTTAACACAAAGAGCTGTGAAGGAATAAATAGAGGTGGCTACTTTGCTATTTAATTCAAATCAATTCATTCATTCACATGCCCATCTTCTCAATACTTACAAACAAGATACTAAACACAACACATTCACATTACGTAGTTTTGGTTTCTCACTGAATGAAATCTATATTTTCCCTTCATTTTCTTCATCTTTGAATCCCTCCCATTCAATATCAAGAAAATAGGAGCAATGCGGCCTCCTAGCCGCCTTCATTCTTTGTTCATTTCCTTTCTTGTTATTTCCCTTTTGTCATTTCAGATCTATGGACAAGAAGGAGATATCGATCTTGATGATATCAAGGACGATGCTAATAAGTTGAGTTTCGAAAACCCAAAGCTTCGTGTTGCATATATTGCGTTACAAACATGGAAAGCAGCTATGTTTTCTGACCCTTTTAACTTCACTGCAAATTGGACAGGACCAAATGTTTGTTCCTATGGTGGGGTGTTTTGTGCTCAATCTTTAACCAATGATTCTATTAGAGTTGTAGCTGGCATTGATCTTAACCATGCTGATATTGCTGGTTATTTAGTTCCAGAACTTGGTCTTCTCACAGATCTAGTTCTTTTCCACCTCAACTCGAATCGTTTTTGTGGTATCGTACCTAAAACCTTTAGCCATTTGAAGCTTCTTAGGGAGCTTGATTTGAGCAACAATAGGTTTGTTGGTGGGTTCCCTAAAGTGGTTCTTTCTTTGCCTTCTTTAAAGTTCTTGGATCTAAGGTTTAATGACTTTGAAGGGCCAGTTCCTTCTAAACTTTTCGACAAAGATTTGGATGCTTTGTTCCTTAATGATAATAGATTTCGTTTTGGCATTCCTGACAACTTGGGCAACTCCCCTGTTTCTGTTCTTGTATTTGCTAATAACAATCTTGGAGGATGCATTCCAGCAAGCATCGGGAAAATGGGCAACACTCTGAACGAGCTTATACTAATGAATGATAATCTAACTGGTTGTTTGCCAATGGAGATTGGAATGCTGAAGAAGTTAACAGTCTTTGACGTGAGCTTTAACAAGATTCAAGGCCCGTTGCCATCAACTGTGAGCAGAATGAGGAGTGTTGAGCAACTCAATGTGGCTCACAACAAGCTCACTGGTGTTATACCAGCTAGTATTTGCCAACTCCCCAGGTTACAAAACTTTACTTATTCTTTCAATTATTTCACTGGGGAAGCTCCGGTTTGTGCTGCAGCTAGATCTGGTAGAGTCATTGACGGTGAAGAAAATTGCATTGCTGGAAAGGAAGACCAAAGATCTGCTAAAGAATGCTCTTCTGATGATGCAAAACCATATGATTGTAGAAAATCTCAGTGCTTTAGCCGTTCAGCTATATCTCCTGTAGTAAAACCAAGACCAAAACCAACCCCTAAGCCAAAAAGACCACCAGTTCAGAACAAACCACCAGCACCTAAGCCATCTCCTCCTACAAAACCTATTGTACCAATTGAATCTCCACCACCACCTTCTTCCAAATCTTCGGGGTCCCATTTTAAGCGCTCTCCGCCGCCACCTCAATCAACTCCTCCGCCATCACCACCACCACCACCACCTGTTTATAGCAGTTCCCCGTCGCATCAACATAGAAGTCCACCACCTCCTACCCACAAAATTTCACCTGTAACTCGTCACGCTCCACCTCCTCCACCTCCACCAAGTCCGGTATATTATCACCACCCATCACCACCACCTCCACAACCAGTATATTACGCGCCACCAACATATAAACCTCAATCACCACCACCACCTCCACCACCAGTACATTACGAGCCACCAACGTACACACCTCAATCACCACCACCACCTCCACCAGTACATTACGAGCCACCACCATACACACCTCAATCACCACCACCTCCACCAGTACATTACGAACCACCAACGTACACACCTCAATCGCCACCACCACCAGTATATGTGACACCGTCTTCACCACCACCACCAGTATATGAGCATCCAAAACCTCCAACTCCAACTCCATCACCACCAGCTGGGTACACACCTCCCCAGGAGCCATCACATCCTGCCCCACCTACCCCACCTTGTAACGAGACACCACCCCCACCACCTAGTACCCCACATTGGCAACCAAAACCATCTCCTCCCCCTACATATAACCCATCACCATCATATACCCAAAGCCCCCCGCCGCCACCTCCTACTTACACCTACTCTTCACCGCCGCCACCATCATCATCACCTCCCCCTCCCACTTACTACTACTCATCACCGCCTCCGCCGCCACCATCACCTCCACCGCCATCACCATCACCACCACCCCCAAGTTACGAACACGTTCCACTTCCACCCATTGTAGGAGTCTCCTATGCATCTCCACCACCACCAGTCATTCCATATTATTGAGCCCGGGGTTAATTAACCATTAGCCTCAGTTCATTATCTTTAATTTTCCATTAACAGATGGAGATTTGGAGGAGAAGAATGGAATTCTTTTTTCTTTTTCTTTTTTTGATTGGGAATTATGTATACTTTGTTATTTATTTTGTTTTTTTAATTATCTTGAGTTGATTATATATTTATGAAAAATGGGATGCTGGGCGGGAGTTAGCAAGGGGTTTAACGAGCATTATTGTTATTCCGAAAGGGTGGTTGTGTATAACTACAATTTTACTGTTTTCTTTAGTAAAACTCATTTATTCAATTAATAAACGTCTTCATACTTATCAAGCTGTGAATAACATATTGTAACTGTGTTTGTTACTATTTCATATTCTATAGCATATTAGCATCCACAATTTTTTGGCCAACTTCATTATTTACAATGTATTTCTGTTATATATACTCGAAATTCACCAGCTCCATTAATCTGGACTCCCATAGGTTTGGACCGTTAATCTTGACTCGCTTAGATTTAGGGTGTGAATTTAAAATCATTTTCATTTATAAAGCTCGAATTTGAGATCTCAGTTATAAAATGGAAGAATCCCAATTATTCGAATGTGTTTATATTTCTTGAGAACGAAGAGATTCGCATCGATAAAGATTAACATACATTTTTTAAATTTAAATTCACACTAAAAGGATCATTGACGAAGTTCTCTAACGTGCCATAAGACCTATAATCGTTTGTAGTAACAATAAATTCATATAGTAGAGTACAAAGTATTTTGGCTTAGTGGCGTTTGAACATAAGAATTATGAAATTTCAGAAAAAAATAAAAAACAAATGAGCCCTTAAATTTGTTCCTTTAGGCACATTGGCTATAATTAGAGTAGAGAGTAGTTTGAGTTTGTCAATCTTCTGTGGCCCTGTGCAAATCGCCTGCAAATTTAATTAGTATGAACAGTGGAGTACATCAACATGCTAAAAATTGAATTTTCGCAACTACTGCACATTGGCAAGACATTATTGCCAACATTGACACCCCTAAGAAATGCCAGTAATGAATAGCAATAATTCAGTACAAAATAATTTCGAATTATTTTAGAATTTCAATTATTGAGCCCAACTGTTCAGTGGCAGTGGCAGAAAGCTGTCTCCACCCCCACAAACTACACCTTTAGTACGGAAAGAAATAAAAGAGCATGAAATAAAAATAATTTTCCAATTAAATTTCAATTATCAACGACTTCTTGTGGAGTTAATGAAAAAAAATAAAGGAGTAAAAAAATTCTTTTAACTTGAAATTTTAGCAAAATGCCTTCCTATTCCTAACAGTCTAGTTTTGGCAAAAATTTGATTGTATTAGTGTATAGGATAAAATCGGTTCACATTAAATAATCGAATGACACGTGGAACTGGGAAAAGACGAAAAATGAAGTGAGTGAAAACCAATACTAAAGACAATCGGTTGGCATCGGGTAGACCCAGAAGGGAACATTGTTAACTAGGGTAACAAATATTTGTCACCGGATGACATTAAATAAAAAATATTCCTCAGTATTGAATACACGTCCATTACAGAGAATTTTGACATTCATTACATGCAGTTACATATTCATCAATGTCCCCTATTTTTGTCATTTAAGAGGGGCTTGATCCTAAGACCTTATTCCCTAGGTTTAGCTATATATAGTGACTCCTACCGTCATTATAAGACATGAAAATCCTGACAAACTTATGCTACATTATTCGAAGTTAAATAATACTTTATTTTCTGTCGAACGATATTCTTATTGCTACCTTCGGAAGCCTTGCTCCCGGAACCAAGTTGTCTGCTATTTTATCTCGATTTCAATACTAAGTCTTGCATTTTATTTAATTATTTATCATTTTATGATCAAATCGATTTGTTTGTCTATAAATTCAACTGTATCGTTTTACGGGTAAATAATTTGGCGCCCACCGTGGGGATTAGACAGTTGCATAATTGAGTTGATCTTTGCATCTATTCCTAATCTGTTTGATTTTTTGTTTCTTAGCAAAAATCGTAAAACAATGGTAGCTAACGATGTCAACATCGCACACAACGTTGAGGCACAAGAGAACCTGCCTCAACACGAGGATTCGATCAGTGACACCCGCAACGAGCAGGACGTAACAATGTCGGTTCATGGCGGGAGATATCCCTAGCACGTACGGGAGCCGACTCCTGATGATGCTGAGGACGAGCACGTAGCAGAAACGGTGAGGATCTTAAGAGAACAACAAAAGGCCATCATAGGGCCATCATGGGCCATCTCTTACGGCAAGACCAAGCCATGACAGAGTTAAGGCAAGCGTTGTTAGGTTCTTCCAACAACGCGAATGGAAGAGGCCCAGTGACTCCCAGTGCTCCCACAAATCAAACAGCGCAAAGGATTGACAACAACACCCTGAGTAATGAGGTCAGCTTCGACGAGGCCGTGGGGCCGACGACGGATTTGGTAACAACAACAGTAATGATCCCTTAAAAGTCGAGCTCATGCGGTTTATGAGGGGAATCAACGCCCGAATGGACTAAATTTCGGGCGCACCACAAGTGTTGAAGGGACCGGACTCAATGAAATATACCCAATTGACTTATAAATTAAGCGCAGCACCATAGTTAATTCTGAAGCGGTTCAAAATACCAGATGTACCAAAATATGATGGGACTTCGGACTCTCAAGAGCATATCACTACTTATACAATGATAGTGAAAGAAAATGACTTGGCTCCACACGAAATTGAGTTGGTCTTGCTGAAGAAGTTCGGAGAAACCCTCACGGAGGGGGCCCTAACATGGTATTCACTCTTACCCAAACACTCAATAGATTCGTTTGAGATGTTCGCATACTCTTGCATCATGGCCCATGCCGGGGCTAGGAAGGTACATGCTCGAAAGGCGGACATATTCAGAATTGCGCAAGGAGAGTCCGAATTGCTGCGTGAGTTCGTGACCAAGTTTCAGAAAGAAAGGATGCTACTACCGACCGTGCCAGATGAATGGGCCACCAAGGCATTTACTAAGGGGCTAAACCTAAGAAGCTCTGACGCCTCCCGAAAACTGAAAGAAAGCCTGCTCAAGTTCCAGGCAACTATATGGGCGGATGTCCATAACCGTTACGAGTCAAAGATAAGAATAGAAGATGATCAACTCGGGTTCCCGGCATCAAATAAGGGTCGAGATCGAGAAAAGAACAAGGATAAATCGAAGGATGATTTTGATGCACATTGGCGATCTTCTAAGGGTTTTTGCCCTATGAAAGGGCCGAAGGACGCGACAGAGGGTTACGGTCGGCGGATAGATTTGCTATCGATATAAGAACTGCCCGTGGACGGAATAGCTAGTCATTGCAAGATAAAGAGGTATCGGGTTCCCGGGATTCCACATATACCAGGCTGTCCGAATATAATTTCAATGTTAGCGTAGTGGAGTTGGTATAAGCGATGAGGAACATCAAGGAAGCACAGTTCCCAAGGTCGATGAGATCCCATCTAGAGGGACCCTAATCTATGGTGCGAGTATCATAGGACTAATGACCACCGGACTGGGGACTGCCGGCATTTACGCGAGGAGGTGGCAACGTTGTTAAAAAATGAAAATCTCAGAGAGTTCTTAAGAGACCGGGCTAAAAAAAATTATGGACTCAACCGGGACAACGCAGAGCCCTCGAAGATAGGTGAAGACCCTCCCCGGCAAACCATCAACATGATTTTTGGTGGAAACAAAATCAACGGTGTAACCTTCTCGGCAGGAAAAAAGACAAAAGTATCGGTGACTCATAGCAAGAGACTCCGGGAAGTTGTCGAGGACAATATCACCTTCACAGAAGACGACACCGATGACCTTCTATTGTAACATAACGATGCCATAGTAATTTCCCTTAATGTTCTAGATTTTAAAATTAAACATGTTTTGGTGGACCCAGGAAGTTCAACCAATATCATTCAATGGAAAGTACTGGAGCAAGCCAAGTTAACTGAAAGTATCATTCCAGCAACAAAGCTCCTCGCCGAGTTCAACTTAGCAAGCGTGACAACCCGGAGGGAGATCTTGCTACCCACGAACGCCGAAGAGGTCATATAGACTACCCTATTTGAAGTGGTAGATGGTGACATGGGCTATAACATAATTCTTGGCAGGCCATGGCTACACGAGATAAAGGCCGTACCAGCAACATACCACCAACTTCTGAAATTCCCAACTCGAGAGAGAATCAAACAAATAAGAGGATATCAATCGACGGCAAGGGAGATGAACGTTGTCTCGGTTTCCAGCAGTAAAGGGAAGGAACACACAGCATAGCAATTACATGGACCGACGCCTTCTCCTGAACCAAACGAGGATGACAAAGGGGAGGAGCCGTCGGAATCCCACCAGGTACCAAGGTATTTCCAGGTAATGAAAGAAATGGACGCAACTAAATCCACGGCGGAAGAACTCGAACAAGTGGCATTGTTCGAAAAGTTTCTAGAGAGGAAGTTCCACTTGGGGACAGGACTAAACCCCGAGATCAGGTTAGGATTTATAGAATTTCTTAAAACTAGCGTTGATTGTTTTGCATGGTCTCGCACGGATATGACATGTATCTCACTAGAGGTGGCCATGCACAAGTTAACCGTGGACCCTGACATTCCTCCGGTAGGGCAAAAGAAGCGCCCAATTGCTGAGGTGTGAAACAGGTTTGTCAAAGAAGAGGTAACTCGATTGCTCTATATCGGTTTAATCCGGGAGGTAAAGTATCCTGACTGGCTAGCTAACGTAGTAGTAGTTCCAAAAAGGAATAATAAATTCCTTATGTGCATAGATTATAATGATCTGAATAAGGTGTGCCCAAAGACTCGTTCCCATTGCCAAATATTGATCAAATGATTGATGCAACGGTCGGACATAAGTTGATGAGTTTCCTCGATGCCTATTCCGGGTACAACCAAATCAAGATGAACCTGGAGGATCAGGGAAAAAACTTCATTCATAATGAACTTTGGCGCATATTGCTATAATGTAATGCCCTTCGGGCTAAAGAACGTCGGAGCCACTAATCAGAGGCTTGTGAACAAAATGTTTGAAAAGCAAATAGGGAAAACAATGGAAGTTTACATAGATAATATGTTGGTTAATTCTTTATGTCACGACCCAAACCGATGGGCCGCGATGGGCACCCAGTTCCTTACCTAACCGAGCACCAACGTAACGTATCTTTCTTATCATACCATCATGAATAAATGGGCTAGAAGTGACGTCATGAGATAACCAGAATAAAACATAAGTGAATACAAGACATATGACGACCCAACATGATATAGAAACTTATACATGTGA